GGGGGACGGAGCGTTGACTTCATTAGACGAGACCTCTCCAACTTAACGTTTAGGTTCAGTGTGCCTCTAACCATTCGCTAATCGCTGCCGGTTTTCACCTTTGCGATCACTGAGACATCACTGAACAGTTGGCGTCTGGTCGTCATAATGAAGTCAATCTCATTTTTTGTCGAACCGTCGGGGCTCGACCAGGTCCACTTCCTGTGGGGCCGCTTCTGGAAGAAAGAGTTCATAATAAAGAGTCCCTCTTTCTCTATAAAGTCGGCCAGCTGCTGGCCCCTTCGGTTCCGTTGCCCCACTCCAAATTTCCCTAACTTCAGCTCACCGCTTTCTCTTGTGCCTAGTTTTGCGTTGAAGTCTCCCATCAACACCGTGTAGTGGGTTTTGGAGGAATGCATGGTTTTGGAAATATCCTCATACATTTCCTCCACCTCCACATCGGAATGTGCCGAGGTTGGTGCATAAACCTGTATGACCTTCAGCGAATACCGTTTGGTGATTCTGAGTATCAGCTACGCGACCCTCGTCGACACACTCCCAATCTTTACAACGTTGTTGACGAGAGACTTGTAGACGATAAATCCGACACCTCCTTGGGACAGATGGTCGCCCTCCCGGTGATAGAACAAGTTGCCGGATTCGAGAATCACCGTGTCCTCCCCCTCTCTTCGGACCTCGGATAATCCTATAATACTCCAGCGGAACTTGTCTCTCTCTTCTTCCAGCTCCAGGATCTGCTCGTCAGTCCTCAGTGTGCGTGCGTTAAATGTTGCCAGGTCGAGTCGTCGTAGGTGGCAACCGAACCTCCACCGGAGATTCTTAGCTCCCCCTGCCCCGCCGTTACCATGGTCGCCACCGTAGCCAGGAATAGCGGGGCCGCCGGGGACTGGGGGCCGTCTATTTGTGTAATTGTTCATGGGAGTATATTGCCATAGTTGCCACGCTTGGCGAGCGGGTTGGCAAAGGCAGTTTTTTTTTGTCGTACAGTTGCTGTTATCAGGAAGATGCTGCTGCCCATCTCCTGCCTGTCTCCCTCTGTCGCCTCTTACGACACCCACGGGAAGATATGGGGTAGTGGATATTCTTAACCGCCACTACACGGCATTGCTCACGCCTATGAAGTTTCGGATTTTTTTATAAATTATCATAAAGATATTGTTGTACTTCATGGATGGTTACCGCGCACTTACGAGAGTGATGTGGCACGCTAAACTATGCCATGCCATAACAAACAACCACAGACTGTTAAGAATCGATTTTGAAATAAATCGAATATATACAAATCACGTAAATATTCATTGAAATTGTAACTAATCGTACAAAAAATTTTATTTTAAAGAAAAAAATGCATATACACGAATATGCAGTGTTTCCAATATGTGGGCGATATATTATTCCTTGGTCAGATTAGGGAAAAATAATTGTTAAAAATGTGTCAAAAAGGCTTGGATACAAAAACCTATCCTATATTTTTATTAATTACATTAGTTTTGAAAACAAAATTCTCGATAATTTTACTTTCCGTCCCCATATTTAGCCCATTGGACCTGGCAACACTAACGCGCATATAGAGAATGGCGCTAGTACGCGTACCTTGAAAGATACCGGTGCAGTCAACGCCGTACTGAAAGTTACAGATGCTGGCAGCCATTTCATTTCTTTAAATGTTAATATGTATGTATATTTTTACCTTCCGTCTTTTACATGAAATATAAGATGATTTTATTTTTAAATTAATACATATCTATAGTTATACATTGAAGTTTCTGTTTGTAATTTCCAAATACCAGCCTTTTTCCAAATGCATATGAAAATTTATACTGTATTTATAACAAAAGACAAACACAATTTTTAAAATAAATTGTCTGTCTGTTTGTTTGTTCCAGCTTATAGTGGACACTAGCAGATAGCTGATGTTATAAGAAGTAACACAGGCTACTTTTATTTTAGAAAATGAATTAGGATTCCGCGCAAAAAAAGTTGAAACCTATAAAATCCAATTGTAATATACAACACGCGAGCGAGGTCGCAGAAACAACTGTTATGTAACTATTATGTCATAATTTGTATTAAACTTTAACTTAATTTTAAATGCATTGTAGTTTATAAAGAAATATGTTTTGGTTTTAATTTTATATCGATAGTTAATCGACAATTTTTGCTTTGCTTTGTGTGTGGTTAATCGCCTTTTAAAAATCGATTTAACGTTGTTCCATCTCTAGACACGCCTAATTGTAAGCTGTCATCACCACCATGCTATGACGCAAAGGCTATAGTGGTATTACTGATTTTTTTGTAGGATAGGGTGACAAACGAGCACACCGTCCACCTGAGGGTAACTGGTTGCTGTGGCCCATAGAAATCTACATGTTTTCTAGAATCAATATGCAGATGCGTTGTAATCCATTAGGACTAAGATGGCATGCCCCATTTCCAGTAAAAAGGGTCTGCGGTTCCCTACACTCACCATAAGGAAAACACAGCAGCATTAAGCTACTATTTTAGGCTGGTATTCTGTGAGAAGATGGTCCTTCTCCGGTCGAGCCGACCCATTCGTGATACAACTATGCTACTAATATAACTGCAGCATGGCTCTACCACGTGAAAATATATAAAAATATATAAAAAGTTACTTTACGTCGCTGTAACTTTCACAGTATGTACGTGAACAACCCGGCTTCAATTCCTGTCGGCACCAATCGTTAATTGCAATTTCAGTTGCTGATTTACCACTTGCTTCGTGGTGACCAAAAACATCCTATGAATACCTGCATGTTTCAGGAAGTTCAACAATATGCATTGGGACAGTGCGGCACTCATTTTCTTGCCCTAAAACCCTCTCAGAAATGAGGGAGACCAGTGCCCAGCAGTGATTTTGATATACCCTAATTCAAATGCACAAATACATAATAAGAAAAGTAACAGTTCATTTGATGATCAGTCGCTAAAGATGTGTTATCACCACAGAGAGCTATCATGACACGTTTCCGTATGTAATTGTACGGTAAACGGATATTCATATTAGAATATGCATGCCTCCTTTTCAGCTTGTGAAAATCCTTGTGTATTGGTTAAGAGGATTCTTTTATTATTTCCAACAAACATCATTTTACTCATAATTGCGTTTAAGTTAAAAAGGTTTGATTCATTACATTTATGGGTAAGTTTATATTAGTTCTCTGAGGGTAACTATGATATTTGCTCGACAATGGTCACTTACAATTAAGTGAGCTGCTCAATGTGCTAATTTGTCCATTTTATGATTAAAAAAACACCACTCCATTATGTTATCCCTCACATTTTGGATTATCAGTTTTAAAAAAAAAGTGCCGGAATGTGCCCGGTGTGTGATATGCAATGTCACACTTGTTCTATGTACCATTCGGAAAAGATAAATGCAGTGCGCGCGGCCCGCAAAACTGTAGCCAAATGCATACCTTCTATATATTATTTCAAATCTTTAAACGAAACTAATGATAACATTATTATCATTAAGCTTTACAGCCTATCCTTTGCAAAATGTAGGACTCTCTTATAGACTGCTTCAATACGGGAGCTATTGGCCACATTTGCCTATTTTCTCAGATGTTCAGGTTACTTCACAGCACTTTTCCTCTACTAGTTAGCATGTTTTTAATCAGCTCTTAAATTTGTTATTTATAATTTTTATAGTCACGCTACCATGCATTTAGCTCAGGTCTCAGAGCTAACTACATGTGGTATAGCTATTCACATGGGCTTTATGTCCATGGTAAATAGTAACGTTATAGACTATTTAAATTTCACTGTTGGCCACAGGCCCTCATTTTAAGAGGGTTAGGGACATAATGTCTTTGAAATATCTGTAATCCTTGGTGCATGTCAAAGGGTTAAAATTATTTGGAATATTCATTTTTTTCTTGATGCTTTCCAAAACAGCCGAGCACTTGCTAAATATAGATTAAAATTGTTAGCAGTTTAAGTATAATAAATGCAACTTAACACTTATTTTAATTTTACATTTTGTGTAACCCACTAGAATTATAAAAAATATATAATTTTATTTATACTTTTTTCTATTAAGTTAAGCGCAAATTAAATAGGTATGTGTGCCTAAAAGTAAAAAATCCAACGTTTTTGTCGCATTAAATCGTATCTAACTATCGTATTTAACATATAAATAATATAAAAAACACATTGTCAGAAAGATAAACGTATTGTTGAAACTAATATCCTTCTTAAATCGATTAAATGCTATTTTGTACTTTAAAAAAGTGTTCTAGTGGCTAATGGTGTAGATTTATCAAGTCCGCATGGAGGGGTAAGCATGGTAACTTTTGAAAATATCAATTGTTCAATTTAATCTTTTTCTTTAATCTCATAATCTATTATATATATATATATATATCGTATGGAATGTAAGTGGGTGTTTAGTTTTGTTTAGTTTATATATGATTAATTTTTTTTTTGGTTGAGAAATTCCTTAATTTTCAGTGTTTAATATATTTTACTAAATACAGATACACTGACTCACTTCGGGCTCGGCCGCCGTCGTGAGTAGGTTATTGTATCATTTGTTTACAGCGACTCCTGATAAAAAATATCGATCGCTGTAGAAATAAAAAATATTCCGAAAACCAAATTTGATACATACTTGACCAAAGTAAGATATTATTATTTTTATAATTACAGACTTTCACTTTAATGTATTGTTTCGCTAAATGTACATAGGAATTATATATATGTTACCGGAAATGTATGTAATCCGTTATTGTATACAATTCCTAGGAAATGTATGTAATTCCTAAAATCGCACGGAAATGTGTAAAATAAATTATATTAGACACATTTCCTAGGAAATCTATACATTGTCTAAATAGCAGTCGGAAATGTAAATATTTGAGATATCAATGGGTATGCGGGGATAGCGAGGCGAGGGGAGGGTATTGTTTTGTCTGATCAGGCGATCTCGCTAGTGCCGCGTTAACTGTCAGTGTGTACGCACGTCGCTGTTGTTCAAAATGGCTACCGAATCACGCATCGCGCTTATGAAAGAGCGATTTTATAGTACTTTAGCGTCATTAAGAATGTTAACAAACGCTAAGAACACTGCTTATATTGAAGATAAACGTTATAAAGAGTTAATTGAAGAAGTTTCCACGGCAAAAATAACAGCCAGAAAGACTTCTCGTGATTATTGGTTATTGCGGCGATACTATGTGCTTACCATTGACCAGAAAAGTAAGCTTATTTTTCCTGTTAAAGACACTACAAGCACTATTATTTACTACGCATGTCGTAGCGAGTTATTCGACATATTACACGAGGCACATATTCAAATTGGTCACGGCGGAAGAGATCGTATGATGAAAGAGGTAGGGAGTCACTACAAAAACATAACACGTAAGGATGTAGAAAATTATCTTGACTTTGTGAACCCTGTCAACAAAAGCAAAAAAACATCAAAAAAGGCATTGTTGTAAAGCCCATTATATCGTCAGAGTTTAACTCTAGATGCCAAGTGGATCTGATAGATTTTCAGACCCAGCCCGACGGTGATAACAAACTTATAATGGCGTATCAAGATCATTTAACAAAATTTGTTGTTTTAAAACCACTTAAAACAAAACGAGCTGAGGAAGTGGCTCACACTTTATTGGACATATTTACTCTACTTGGTGCTCCTGCAATACTTCAGTCTGATAACGGCAGAGAATTTTCCAACCGAATTATTGAGAATAGCGATCTTCCAAATTTTCAATACCATTTTTGTAGTACGATTTGTGTTTAGCCTCAAAATAGGCCTCTGTTTCGGCGATTACTTACTCATCGGCTTTAAATTTCTTTCCAGCCAGCATTCTCTTGAGATCTGAGAACAGGAAAAAGTCGCTGGGGGCCAAATCTGGAGAATACGGTGGATGAGGAAGCAATTCGAAGCCCAATTCATGCAATTTTGCCATCGTTTTCATCGATTTGTGACACGGCGCATTGTCTTAATGAAACAACACTTTCTTCTTCTTCAAATGGGGCCGCTTTTCGCGATTTCGTCCTTCAAACGCTCCAATAACGCTATATAATAGTCGCTGTTGATGGTGTTTCCCTTTCCAAAATAGTTGATGAAAATTATTCCATTTGCATCCCAAAATACGGACGCCATAACCTTACCGGCCGACTGTTGAGTTTTTCCACGCTTTGGATTCGGTTCATCGCGTGCAGTCCATTCAGATGACTGCCGACTGGACTCCGGAGTATAGTGGTGGATCCATGATTCATCGATTGTCACATATCGACGCAAAAATTCTATTGCGGTTGAACAGCTCCAAACATTGCTCTGAAGCATCGACACGTTCTTGGTTTTGGTCGATTATGAGCTCGCGCGGCACCCACTTTGCACATAGCTTTCGCATACCCAAATATTCATGAACGATATGTCCAACACGTCCCTTTGATATATTTAGAGTGCCAGCTATACAAATCAACCTCAATTTACGATCTTCCAAAATCATTTTGTGGATTTTTTTTATGTTTTCGTCCGTAACAGCCTCTTTTGGACGTCCACTGCGTTCATCGTCTTCGGTGCGCATATGGCCTGTACGAAATTTGGCAAACCACTTACGAATGTTTGCTTCGCCCGGCGCAGAGTCCGGATAACACTCATCAAGCCACTTTTTGGTATCAGCAGCATTTTTTTCATCAAAAAATAGTGTTTCATTAAAACACGAAATTCCTTTTTTATCCATTTTTTTCAAAATAACAAAAGTTGCTTCACTCAAAATGCTGTATCTCACAAACTAATAATCAGACAGCTGTCAAATTTATACACGTTTCTTTTGAAGGTTGGTACTACCTAAAATGATATGGATTTTATTCTAGTGGCGCCATCTCATAGAGACGATACGAACTTTTCAGCCCAACCAATACATGTAGAGAATGTGGATGTGCAATCCACGCTATTTGCGCTGTTGCTGAAGAATCATCTGATGAAGGATTTGGATCTAAAGTTTTGTGTCTATTATGTTCAAAAAAATATAAAGTACAATATAATCGTCAAAGTGCTAAGAAAAATCTACAACATCAGGCTGAAAAAATGCTGAAATCGAGTGAAAAGAAGTTTGCTCCTGTACCTATTGGCACTTCTGTACGAATTGCAGTTCCAGAGGTTGACAGAGGACGTGGTGATGCCCAAAATATTATAGGTGTAGTTTTGGCTAAAACCGATGATGAGCTTTATCAAATTGGTACCAAGAACGGAATCTTAAAACAATTATATTCTCGATCTCAGATTAATGTGTGTCCAAGAGCTCTTCTTGATGCAGAGGATGTACCGAGTACGGAGATAGCACTACGGTCAGTTGCTAACCTACAATCCACTGGAACCGGCCAGGGATTTAAAAAGTGCCATTGCAAGAAAAAACTGTACTACAGCAAGATGTCTGTGCTATAAAAATAAATTATTGTGTTCTTCCAAGTGCCATTCCGGCTTACCCTGCAAAAATAAATAGCCATATGGACTGACTCTTTATATAACATAAAGTCTTACTTTAATATTGTGACATTTATAATTACTTAAATAACAGATTAATTACTTACCCAACGAAAGTTTGACTTTATGAGAATAATATAAGTCGATTTTGTGAAAAATGCATTCTAAAAGTTCCTAGATACTTGATTTTCGAAGCTTTAATTAGTAAGATAATATGAAGATTATTATATTTTACGAAATGACTGTTACCTGAACGCTGTTGTCTCAACGACTGCTTTCATAAAAATTATTATTCTCATTTTAACAACGTGTTTTATTACAGAAATTATTATTTTTATACATTTCCTAATACGATATTGGAATTATATACAATTCCTAGGAATTGTGCACATTTCCTAGGACATTTATGTATTAAATAGTTTTTGAAACAATATTTTATACATTTCCTAAATAACTTCGGAATTATCTAAATTTCCTAGGATTTGTATACAATTCCTAGATTTCATACATTTCCGGTAACATAACATAAAAGAATAATATTCACTCAATATAAGCGAAATATAATGTTTCCTCAGTTTTTCTACTATTTCAATTCTTTATCCAATAAAGTGTTGATTTCAGGGACAAAAATTTAATATATATGCAATAATTTATAACTGATTGTGTACTGACAAAAAGAATTTTATAAGATTTAGTATAATTTACGAGATATTCAATTAAAAGTAATGCGATTAATATTTTATATCGCGAAACAAACGGTCGTCAATCTAAATCCTACTCAAACAACATGCATGCATTTATTTTGTCCTGTTTCTCTCCTGTCCAATTACTGAATACTGATTGGCAATCTGTCACAATCGTTCCATTGAGACCTGTGAATAACGAAAAATTCTAAATATCCGACACAGACAAAATTCATAAAACTTATAACTTCACATTTTTACATGATCTTATTTTACATATTTATTATCATCATTCTCAAAGACGTTTTTAAGTATGTTACTGTCTTAGGCTCTTTAAGGAATCCCTTAGCTGAAGGGTTTCTCTCACAGGATCTTTTCGTACCACACCAGCAAGATGATGAAAACTTGGCAAATCCAGAGCTGATATCCAACACTTTTTTATTTCTAACTAGCTCTTACCCATGGCTCGCGGACATATTCATTTTTACGAGCAATACTGGTTGCCGATCAATACAGATTTTATCAACAAAAACACTATTTATTTATATATTTCATAATGATTTCTTATATTTACGCGAACACTACACATTAAAATAATACTAGTTTTTACGGATTTTATCGTGTATATTTAACTTTTTAAATACCCGACGTTTCGAGAGCTTTACAGAATCCATGGTCACGGGGGGGGGGGATGAGATGTTCAACGTCCAGATGTCATAGTTAACCGCGGTTACCATAGATTAAAATTTAACTTTTGTTCCGACTCTATTTCCGTTCTACACAATTCAGTTAGTAAATATAAAGAATGCAAAAACAAACATATAGAAAAATATAAAAATTAACGACCAAAACAAATGTTAAACATCCGAATCAATGCCAGAACCAAAAGCAATCATTGACAAACACAGATCATAGATTAATCGCGTTCTATAATCTGTCAAAACAAACACTGGATGATGCAACAATTAGGGTTTTATCCAAAGGCAACAACCGTACGAAGAAATTATCTGTAGTGTCGAGGACTGTTTATTTAAAAACAATATCCGAAAAAAAGATTTGGAGGCGATACGTCAAGACATTTCGTCTATGTTACGTCGATTTTCAGTGCTTAAACCGAATCTTCTAAAAGACGAATTTATAGCGTTAAAGAACCTACGTAATAAACCAGAACTCACAATTATCCGCGCAGATAAGGGAAACTCCACGGTTATGATGGATATGTCAGATTATAATTCTAAAATACAAGAACTTTTGTCACATGTAAGTACTTACTGTATGTGCTTTACTAAGTTAAAAACGACCCAACAAATATCACACTAAAACAACTAGTGACCTCATAAAGAAACACTCCGAAATATTAAATCTGGGCGTAAAATGGATAATGCCTACGTGCGCCAAATCACCAAAGTTGTATGGGGTACCAAAAATACACAAGCCCAGTGCTCCATTACATCCCTTATTGAAACAAATCGATTCACCATCTTACAGATTGGCTCAACACTTAGCGAAAATACTCTCGCCGCTCAGGGGACATACAAGAGCACACATAAAGGATTTCTACCATTTTGTCATCGAGATTAACCTAGATTAACCTAGACCTACATATGGCAGACAATGAAACTATGGTCAGTTTTGATGTGCAGTTATTGATTACATGCTTACCTGTTGTAATCTCTCTTGTAACTATCTCATCTCGATTGTAACTAGAAGGCTGGAAGATAACAACATGCCCGTAGACACTTCCACAATTCTACCTTTAGATAAAGTAGCTGCATTTTTAGGCCATCTTAACTCTATAAATTCTAAAATTCAGTTCACAATGGAGTTAGAGGCAAACAATTCCTTAGCTTTTCTAGATGTGTTAGTAATTCGGAATCCTGATAACACCTGGACCCATACTATTTACAGAAAAAAAGACCCATACAGATAGATATTTAAACTGCGATCCTCACCACCATCCTTCACAGTTAGCTACCGTGGGTAAATCTTTGTTTCAGAGAGCATGAGAGAGCTGTGACAGTAAGCACCTGGCTGTCGACCACCATTCCAATTTTGCATGACAACAAGCTACGGGTCCCGCGCCTACGTCACAGTGAACGAGTGAAGCCGGCCACAGTCGAGCGTGTACCTGCTGTACTGCCATAATTGTGTTAGAGGAGTCACTGACAAGATTGGCTATATCTTGTAGCGCGCTTCCATCAAAACATACTTCAAACCGCCGAAGAAGATTGGTCAGATTTTACCATCAGTCAAGTGTAACATTCCTCTGCAAGATGGAGTAGTGTACAAGCTTGATTGCGAATGTGGTCTCTCCTACATAGGACAAACTAAAAATAATTAAAACCCGCGTTAGAGAACATATAGCTGATGTGAAGAATCGACGCTTCGGGAAGTCTGCAGTCTTTGAACACGTACAGGATCGCCCCCCGTCACTACATCAGATTTGATAGACCACAAATACTCTCTAAAGAATACTGACTCCTTCCAAGAACGATTCGCGAGACTACTGAAATTAAAAAACATCCTAATTTCAATAGAGAAGATGGCTGGGTGCTAAAATCTGCTTGGGATCCTATAATAAATAAAATTAAATCCCAACCCAAGCATACAACTGCAAGACTTCAAGATACCAAAATTTCATACTGTGTAAAAAAATTAAATTTTAATCTATTGTAACCGCGGTTAACTATAACATCTGGACGTTGAACACCTCAATCCCCCCGTGACGATGGGTGCTGTAAAGCTCTCGAAACGTCGGGTATTTAAAAAGTTAAATATACGCGATAAAATCCGTAAAAACTAGTATTATTTCAATTATTTATTTCATGTTATTGGTCAATACATATAAGAGACGATATATAGTTACAAAAAGAAAAAAATACTACAATTTCATAGGTTCTGCCTCGCCGCGAGCTGAAGATCGCACTCTATCTTCAATTATACCTTTAGTTAATTAACATCTCTTATTAACTCCGTTTTTCCTTGGCAGTTACAATCACGGGCACAGAGTATATCATTATGCTAGGAGCTGCTGTATACCGTGTTGTATGTCCTATCATTTAACGCTAATACATAAACATTCTGAGCACTGAATAAACGCAAATATGCTACACATAGCTGACCATGAAAGAAGAATGTCTTTTTGAAACATACCTCTACTACCTGTAATACTTGTATTGTTTGCTAATAGCAATAGCAAAACAGAAATAGTAGCTCAGTAGGAATTAGTGGGATAAGACGTATGACTAAATTTTCACCTTTTCCTTTACCGGTTAAAATATTGACACTGATTATATCTATATTTCGAGTAATCATAACTGGTACACCTAATTTCAATTGGAGTTTATGCAAGAACTTCAAGAGAGTTTAAAAACTCAGCGGGGTATTAACTGCTCTATTCTATGTCTATGAATGTATCTATTGAGAAATGCTTCTTTATTTATTCCTGCACCTTTATAAAATGTCTGTTGATTTTGTTAACGATTTCATTTTTTGGTGTAAGAATTGCTCTTGCACATATCCAGTGATCACAATTTAAATTGTGTTGTAAGTCCGGATAAACTTTAGCTATACATAATTCTCCACTAAATCACATAACTCGTCTGTAAGTAAAATACCACTTTCAGTATCCGTGTCGAACTTTTCATCGCCAATTTTTAACAGTGGCTTTGCGTAATGTCCTAGGTTTACGTTATTATAAAAGTGCACTCATATTCGTTATTAAACTATTTTTTTTAAATTTCTTCCATAAGCTTGATGACTTGAGACAGGCTTTGATAAAATCTACAGGTGCTCTTCTGAATTATCGATAGAGTTAGTAGGAAGTATAAACGTTATGCTTTACATTGTGTAATACCAAATTTTTTATGTTATTTTTGTCCATTATCTTAACGGAGTGAACGGACAGAGCTGAATCATTTGAAATTATTAGAATAAGATTTGTCTATATAGACTTTTGTACCTCCATTTCACTTTTTTAGGAGTAGTCTGAAAAATAAATATGCATCTAATATATTTGTCATCAAAAACGTTTCTGATTAAAGCAAATTGGATGACGCAATAAAAAGGTTAATCCCTTGAGTTTTTTTTTAAAGTAGCCTATAACAATTTCAGGGTCCAACTATCTCTGTGTCATAATAAATCGTATTCAATTTAGTAGTTTTGGTGACAGCGTAACAAACATACAAACTCATTTTCACATTAAAATAATTATTTGCAGACTATACAAATTTTATATGCTGAAAACGAACCTGCGACTCACAGCGCTGCAAACTAAAC